CTACAACTACCGTCGAGCCAGCTAGCCCGCCCGCCCGCACGTCGACCTCCTGTCCATACGCGCGGCGTCCCACCAGCCCCGTCTTGACGCCGTTGGCTTGCGCGCGCCGTTCGCAGACCGTCCGTCCGCCACCGTCATCCCGCGCCCCCGCCGTCGTTCCCCGGCGCTCCGAACGGCCAGCCTCAGCAGCACCGGCAGCAGCGCGACCACCACCACCACCGTCACCACCGGCGGCGTTGTCGCGCTATAAGCTGTCGGCACGCAGTGTCCCTCTGGCCGCCGTCGTCCGTGTTCGCGTCGCCCGTTGCTCGTCGCTCCGTCCTCGTGTCCGACCGTCGTTGCGCGTGTCGTGGTCGTGGTCGTGGTCGCGGCCACCGTCTTCTTCCTAGTCGGAGACGGATTTGGGTTCCCGCCGCCGTGTGTGCAGTACCATCGTCGTTCTCGGTCGCAGCCGACATGTGCTACTGTCGCCGTGGGTGGTGCCGGTCCCGCACGAGTCTGCCGCCACTGACCACCACTGCCGCTGACTGCTGCGACACCGACATCCAGTCGCGTCGTTGTCGGTCCGTTATCGCCAAGTCGCTGTGCTGTTGAACTGTTCGACTAGTCGTCAACCCCCTCGCGTCCCCCATCCGTGATTGCCACGACGGACGATCTGAACAACGCACCGGACAACCGGAACACGGTTCGTACACGGTCGTCAGAACCTGAACCGCCCCACGTGTGAGTTTTCTCAAGATTTTTTTTGCCCCTCCATAGTTATACGTTGTTGTTACGGCAAGCATCCCCTTATTTAGCGCCCCACCAATCAATCGATTCGCCCTCTTTCCCCCTTACGGTTTTCTTTCCCGATCCGATTGTCCACCCCAATCGCTCGTGTCCGACTCCTACATTCGCCTACTCTTCCGGTTCGCCGTCGCAGCGTTTCTCACGGGGTGTTTAATTTTTTTTTTACGTTTTTTTTAACGTGACATGATATTCTTCCGTCCAACTCGTTCGTACGTGTGCGCCGTAATCGTGTAAATCAGTGTGCATCGTGTGTTTCTCGACGCAATTTATGAAAATCCTATGCGCGTAATCCGATGGACGTGAATCGCGAAAGAATTCACCGATCCTCGGTTACCGGCGTTCGCGTCCGGAGACAAATCTACGGTGTTTACCGGCAAGAAAAAAAGAGGGAAAAAATACAAAAAGTTTTGCAAATCGTGAACGGTTTCCGGTAAATACTACACGTTGAGCGCGTGTTTGCGATATCGCAATTATTACACCGGTCGGAGCCGCTCGTAAGTCTCGTTTTCGTTTCCTATGTTTATGTACGCGTGCGATGATAGTTCAAACACATCCGACCGCGTGATGTAACGCAGACACGATTTGAACGTTTGCCAAGTGTGTTAATTCACCTGATAAACAACACTTCGTCCGCCGTTATTTCTCTTTCGACGTGAGGCGCGGTTTTAAGTATTGTTTTAAGGGGATCTTTCTTTCCTAAAAAAAAAAAAAAGAAAAAGCGTCGGCAGGATAAATCCGAGCAAAACGACGTGTAGGTGTAACGTGGCTCCTCTCTATTATCGTTGAAAATCGTTTACTTTTCTCTCAGCTTTTCTTTTATTTTCTCGCTTTTTCGCCAGTCTACAAGTATAAAACTTCTTTATTGTGCGTGTGTGTGTACGCGCGCATTGTTTTCTAGAAAATTACTTAGGTGCAATTTTAATGGATATAGTACCAGTGAGTGAAAGAGAGAGAGAGAGAGAGTGAGATAAGAAGAACATTACAAGGGCTCGCTGCGTTGTTATCCAGTTCAAACAATGAGTCAATTTAATAACGACATTATTTTGACCGCATTACTTTCATACGACACGTGCGCGTATAAGCACGCACACACTCGCACAAACATATTTGCGCGTAATAAGCACGTGTAGACAAAAAAAATAAAAATAAAAAAATATACGCGAAAAAGTTTCCTGTTCGTTTGATTATATCTTCTTCTGAAACACACACGCGAGCGATACTATTGAGTACGACGTCTATTCTGTACGTACATATCGTAACGTTATTTCAACGTGTTTTTTTATTCATCTTTCATTATTCTGCTGTTGCGTAACGACTTGTTACCGTGTTCACGGTGGTCTTGTGTCGACGGGAACAAATTGTTCGCAACCGCGGAGGGTCACACTCTCGTAAATTGACGCGTTTATTTTAAACGCTATTCTCGTCACGTGTATAGATCGTGTTATTGGCTAAATATGTGTGTTTGTATAATAAACATAGCGCAAACAAAGTATTATTTCATTGTGAATAAAATATATCGTATACATGTTTACAGTTGTTGCATTTGAAGTTATGGATCAGAATATATTGTGTAGTTCGAGAGAATTTTTTTTTTCATTTTTATAACAATCGGGTATATCCATCATCGGTACGACTTTTTTTGTGAATAATTTTCACTGTGAAATGCTCTACTTTATTTCTCTATGCGAATATTATTTTCTCGATATACGTTTTTAAGAAAAGCTCATAAAATAACTAACAAATTACTTCCGTCACGCAACTTGGGGGTTTTTAAAAGTAGACCAGAAGCGCTGTTTGAGTTGCGAACAACTCAAACGTTCTTGTTTCAAGGTTGACATTTTTTTCTTTATCCAACATTTTCGTCCACTTAATGTAATACATTAAGTGATACATTTTTTGTGATCGTTTTTTTTTTAAATCTGTATTTCTACGTGCAGTGTCTCGTTTTTTTTTTTTATCGAATAGTTATTTGGTGTTCGTGTGATAAGAGTTTACATTAATTTTAAATTAGGAGATAATTTGATATGTTATATAAGTATTTTCGCTCCTCGATGAAATTGACGTCAAATATATGTGATTCATAACTACTTCTATGAAATTTATAAAAATCGCAATCAATTTATGCATCAAGAAAATAACGATTATAAATTTTAATTTCACGTATTCCTTTTGATAAAAATATGTTTATTCGTATGTGGTATTGAATGCTATGGGTCGTATTTACTCGTGCATGGTCTTGAAAGCAGAGATGACAAAAGCAACTATATTATTTGTTTTAATCCTTCGGAGAAGTTGTACTTTCAATAGAAATCATTGTGGATTTTGGCACAACTAAATTTAACTGTTAAGTTTTACGAAACTATTATGTCGTCATAGGACATTTTATACATTTAAGCTTTCAAATAATGATATTACTTGTACAATATTTGTATGCGTGAGTGTGTGTGTGTGTGTGTGTGTGTGTGTGTGTGTGTGTGTGT